GAGCCTACATCTGCAAAAGAATCAGCTGCAGGCCCTGCCCGCCCTGCCTGGTCTGAGCCAGCTTGAGCTCATCGACCTCAGTGGCAATCCCTTCCACTGTGACTGCCAGCTGCTCCCACTTCACAGGTAAGCACCCCCAACTGAATGCCCCAGCTGGGGACCCACCAGCTGCTCTCAGTCAAGCCCTGGTGCCATCTGAGCACCTTTGGCGGGCGAGGATCCTTCCAGGGCCAGCTACCCTTCCTGGGGGAGCCAAACATACACGGGGCTTGGGTGGGCTTCTCTGAGCCCCTGTTCCCTCATCTATAAAGTGGGAATGAAATCTGCCCAGCCTAGTGGGGTGGGACCTAGTAAATGTGTGTGAGCACTTTACGTCATTGCCTAAGAAAGCAACAAGAACCGTGGAGTCTGGTGACCTGGGCTCAAATCCACCTCTGTGACTGAGCATCTACCTTTGAGCCATGTGGCCTCTCTGTGCCGGCCCCTCACCTGGAAAGGGGATGATAGCGATTGCATCCACCTCCTGGTGGTGGTCGTAAGAATTACATTAAATTAGATAGCTTATCTAGATTGATTTGAACAGCGTCTGGGTCTTCAGCCCTCTGGAACTGTTTATTACTGGCCCCCTGTTACAGGGAGGGGATTGAAAGTTGAAGCGACTTGCTCAGGGTCACATAATTGGTGAGTGGCCGAGTCCCACTGCCCCCACATAACTGAGGACCTCTTCGCTCTTCTCAGGAAAGCTCAGCACAGCAGCTTCCCCGAACCCCCTTTTCTCCTCAGGTGGCTCACTGGGCTGAACCTGCACGTGGGGGCCGCCTGTGCCGCCCCTCCCAGTGCCCGTGGCCAGAGGGTGAAGGCTGCAGCTGCTGTCTTTGAAGCCTGCCCGGGATGGGCTGCCAGGAAGGCCAAGCGGACGCTGGCCGCCAGGCCTAGTGCCCGGAGGACCCCCATGAGGGGAAGACGGCAGGGAGCGAACAAGGTTGGTCAGGGGCAGGTGCAGGGAGGCCTCGCTGGGTGGGTCAGGTTTTAAAGCCCTTGGGGTAGCAGGGGTCTGACTTGTCTTGGTCCCAATTTCATGAGGTTCTAGATCTGGGCAATGACCCTGTTGCTTCCGTTCAAAAATGTCTATCCCCCTCTCCTTACCTCCTCCACCTCTGGGCTCAGCCCAGAGTGGGTTTGTAAGGAAATGACTGTTTCATCCCACGGGACAATGGCCTTTCCGATTAAGCTGCAGCATCCCAGGACCCTAGGTATCCATGAGAAGAGCCCCACAGTGACTGTTACTGCAGGATTGCCGTTGATTCAGCCCGTTCCCACCTGATCTTGGGGGCCTCGCTCATCCCTGGGGCGGGAAGAGCAGGAGTGCAGGTGTGTGGTTGGTGCCATGGGTCGGACTCCATCACTCCCTTGACGTTACATTTGCTGTCCGGACAAACCCATTCACACTGGAATGCTCAGTTGTAGCAAAATCTCGCAGCTCATCAGAGAAGAGTGGGCAGGACATGGGCACCCCTCCACGTGGCGACCCGTGCTGGGTGGTGAGGGGATGTAGGGGAGGCAGACCTTAGAGGAAAGCCATGACCAGAACAGGGTGGGCTCTGGGAAGGAGGGGAGAGGGCTCTGCCTGCCTCTGGACCTGCAGCTTGAAGAGTTGGGGCACCTGGGGACCATCAGATGGTGTTTGTATTAGTTCCCTAGGGCTGCAGTACCATAAACTACCACAAGCTGGGTGGCTTAGAACCACAGAAATGTATTGTCTCACTGATGTGGAGGTTAAAAGCCTGGAATCAAAGTGCTGGCGGGGCTGTGCTTCCTCTGAGGCCTTGAGGGGAGGGTCCTTCCGTGTCCTGTCCAGCCTCCGCTGGCCCCAGATGTTCCTTGGCTGTGGCAGCACAAGCCCCGTCCCTGCCTCCACCATCACATGATGTCTTCCCGTGTCTCTCCACATCGTCTTCCTGCTGGATGTGTCCAAATTCCCCCTTTTTATGAGGACACGAGTCATTAGATCAGGGCCCACCCTAATGACCTCATTTTAACTGGATCGTCTCTGTGAAGACCCTATTTCGAAATAAGGCCTTATTCTGAGGTGTATCTTTTTCGTGGGGACTTAATTCAACCCGAAACAGTGTTCGTTGTGGAGGTCAGCTGGGAGTAAGGAAGAACCCCTAAAAAGGCCCCAGGCTGAAGGTGAGCATTCGGCCTTAGAAGCGATACCTGGAACCAGGGTCCATGATGGCGGCCATACTCAGAGAACACTTGGGCAGCACTTTCTGCCGGGAGTTGTGCTGATGAACAGCACCGGTGTGGATACTGAGCTTGACTTGGGAGCAGCAGCCCCAACAGGCTCACCTCCAGATCAGGACTCTCATTAAAAGGACCCCCACGCCAATCCCACATTTTGTAGCTGCGACAGGAATGGGGCCTCGCGGGCCACCCCATCCAACCACCCCTTCTGACACGGAGATATGCCACCAAACGGGCTTTTTGTTTTTACTTTGTTGAAAGTGGCAGCTTCCTCCCAGGAATACCAAGGCATCGAAGGATAAGGGCCCTGAGCCCTGGCAGGGTGTTCTGGGCTAGGGGACTTGCCTGGCTGAAGGCACCTGGCAGACGAGCCTGGGTTTGCTCCCACTGCTGTCATTTAACAGTTGTCAAGCCACCAAGTTACTGAACTTTAACGAGTCCTCTTTCACTTATGCTTAAAATGAAATCAGCGAGTTCTCCCAGGATTAC